TTCTACTAGAAATTCAAAGAAGAGCTAATTCCAATACTCATCAAATTGTTCCACACAATATAAGCGGGAGGCTCACTGCCAAACTCTTCTTACGAGGCTACAATTACCTTGGTACCCAAGCCACACAAAACACAACTAAGAAAGAGAACTATAGACCAATTTCCCTCATGAACATCTATGCAAAAATACTCAGTAAAATACTAGCAAACCGGATTCAAGAACACATCAGGAAAATCATTCATCATGATCAAGTAGGCTTCATCCCAGGAATGCAGGGATGGTTCAACATTAGAAAAATCTATCAATGTAATCCACCATATAAACAAACTGCAAAAGAAAAACCACATGATCATCTCACTAGATACTGAAAAAGCCTTTGACAAAATCCAGCACCCATTCATGATAAAGGTCCTAGAGAGATCAGGGATAACAGGAACTTACCTGAACACAATAAAAGCAATATACAGTAAACTAACAGCTAACATCAAACTAAATGGAGAGAAACTCAATGCAATTCCTTTAAAATCAGGAACAAGACAAGGCTGTCCACTCTCTCCATAACTCTTCAATATTGTACTTGAAGTTCTAGCTAGAATAATAAGACAATAAATGGAGATAAAGGGGATACAAATAGGAAAAGAAGAAGTCAAACTTTCACCATTTGCGGATGATATGATAGTTCACATACGTGACCTGAAAAACTCTGCTAGAGCTGATAAACTCCTTCAGCAAAGGTGCAGGATACAAGGTTAACTATAAAAAATCAGTAGCCCTATTATATACAGATGATAAAGTGGCTGAGACAGAAATCAGAGAAACATCACCCATCACATTAGCCATAAACAGCATCAAATATCTTGGGATAACGTTAACCAAGAAGTGAAAGATCTTTATATCAAGAACTTTGAGTATCTAAAGAAAGAAATCAAAGAGGATACCAGAAAATGGAAAGATCTCCCATGCTCTTTGATTGATAGGATCAACATAATAAAAAAATGGCAATCTTGCCAAAAGCAGTCTATAGATTCAATGCAATCCCTATCAAAATTCCGGCACAATTCTTCACAGACCTGGAAAGAACAATACTCAACTTTATATGGAAAAACAAAAGGCCCAGGATAGCCAAAACAAATCTCCAAAATTCACAAAGAACTCAAGAAGCAAGTCTTCAAAACACCAAAGGATGCAATTAAAAAGTGGGGTACAGAACTAAATAGATAATTCTCAATAGGGGAGTCTAAAATGGCTGAGAGACACTAAAGAAAGTGTTCAACATCCTTAATCATCAGGGAAATGCAAATCAAAACAACTCTGAGATATCATCTTACTCTTGTCAGAATGACTAAAATCAAAAACACCGATGACAATTTATGCTGGAGAGGATGTGGAGAGAGGAACACTCCTCCACTGCTGGTGAGAGTGCCAACTCATACACCTACTTTGGAAATCAATATGGAGATTCCTCAGGAAAATGGGAATCAATCTACCACAGGACCCAGCAATTCCACTCTTATGCATATACCTAAAAGATGCAAATTCATTCAACAAGGACATCTGTTCCATTATGTTAGCATTATTTGTAATAGCCAGAACCTGGAAGCAACCTAGATGCCCCTCAACTGAAGTGTGGATAGAGAAAATGTGGGACATTTACACAATGTAGTACTACTCAGCGGAAAAAAATCGAATCTTTAAATTTGCAGGCAAATGGATGGCACTAGAAAAAACCATCCTGAGTGAGGTAACCCAGTCACAAAAATACAAACATGGTATGAACTCACTCATATGGATTTTAAACATGGATCAGGCTAGTTCCAGTCTGCAAAGCCCCTGACAGAGAGTCAGGGGAACAGGAAAGAACCTAAGAGAGATATGCATGGTACCCCAGAGAAGAGGAATGAGGCAAGATATCCTGAACAGATTGGGAACATGGCAGGAGGTGTGTGTGGGGGGAGTGGGAGCTGGGAAGAAAAGAGGGGGAGAAGAGGAGAAGAGAGTAGGTCATGGGAGAACTGGAAGGTTGAGTGGGAGGTAGAATAGGGGGAGAACAGGATGAGAAATACTATAATAGAGGGAGTTATAGGTTTGAAAAGAGATCAGGCACCAGTGAGACCTCTAGCGATCTAAAAGGATGACACCAAATGACAAACTAAGTAATAGTGGAGAGACTACCTTAAATGCCCGTTCCTGATAATGAGCTTGATGTCTACCTTATATGCCATCCTAGGACCTTCATCCAGTGACTGATGGAAGCAGAGGCAAACACCCACGATTAAACACTGAACTGAACCCACGGAACCCAGTAACAGAGAGTGAGGAGCGATGAAACAATTGACAAAGAATGGGCAGGCGAAACCAGCAGACACAGCTGATCTGAACAAAGGGGAGTTCTTGGACCCTAGACCAACAGCTGAGAGGCCAGCATCGGACTGATCCAGAACATCTGAGTGTGAGAGTCAGTGAGGAGGCCTGGGCAACCTATGGGGCCCTGGGCAGTAGATCAGTATTTATCCTGGTATACAAATGGACTTTGTGTGCCCATAACACAAAGAGGGTCATCTCTCAGCCTGGACTCTTAGGGGAGTGCCTGGACCCTTCCCTGAGCAAAATGACAGACTTTGGATATCCATTATGTTGAAGGAATTGGGTATAGGGTGGGAGGCTGGGGGAATGGTAGGGGGTGCAGGAGGAGAGGAGGGAGAGAGAATTGGCATTGACATGTGGAACCAGCTATTTAAAATTTAAAGTAATAAAAAAAAGAAAAAAAACATACACATCCTCCTTAGGACCTTGCTACTTTCTGATCATAAAAGAACTGTGTTTGACATGTTTACTTTAGCTCTGCATATGTATTACTTTGAGTGTAAGTATGAAATGTATTGTCGATAAGCCCTGTTCCAGGGAATCCTCATTCCACGTGTTAATCTCTCCCTGTCATTGTTTCTTTGTTTGTTTACGACGGGGTCTCACGTAGTCCAAGCTGGTCTTCAATGTACTAAGTCACTGAGGTTGACCTTAACTCCTAAACTTCCTGTCTCAGTCTCTCACATGGCAGGATTATAAGCTTGGGCCACCACCTTCTTAGCTTTTTGATGACATGTGTCATCAGTACTCATTGTTCAGGTGGGTCATGTGTCCCTCCACAGCCTCAATACTGTCCCCACTACACTCAGAGCCTGAGTTTCTATGATACAGGGCTACTCAGGTGGGCTGGCAGATATCCTTGTGCAGGTCTCCCACATAAAACTTTATTCTATTTGTGCTTTGACCATTTTCTTAGATAACTTACCAATTTATGTCATCTCCCATCATTTCTCTACATAGGACATGCCTTAGAAGAAAACCTTAAATCCTCTGTACCTCAGCAATCTGAATTTTAACACAATAGAAAACACCCTGCCTACAGCAATCTAAACCCATGAACATCTTCATTTGGATTGTAAAATATTAAAGGCTCTAAGAGGTATTGAACAAAAGTGATTTGATTTATTTTGTAACCTAGACTTTAATGATGCTTGTTTGATTACAGATACTTTTGTCAATTAATGCCTATAAAATCCTTGGAGAAATAAGAGCTGGCATTCATTGAATAATTGATAGTATAAACTAATAACAACACTTGTTCTAAGCATATTTGACAACCTTAAAGGTACTGGTATTATTTTCTCCGTTTTAATGATAAAAATAATGAGGTACAGTGAATGCCTGACTTTTCCAAGATCAGAGAATTGGGCTATATGGAAAATAGGATTTCATCAGGCTATGTGATGCTCGAACACAAATAATTCACTGTGGTACTAATGTGGTTCTGCAGTAGCCATAGGATCCAATGCTGAGGCTGTGGGCAGCCTGTGTTCCCATTCCTGGAGTGGTTTCTGAGAGTGGAAGCAATGAAGCATCCTGAACAGAATTTCTTTCTAGTTTGTAACAAAATGCTCAATCGTGTCTGTCCTGTTTCTTGCTCAGCTTGAACACATACACACAAATATACATATAAACATACACACAATTCAAGCCCAATGCAAATGCAACAATTACAAGTAAACCTTTTCATTTTTCTACTTTAAATATTATGAACTGTATCCGATGTTTCATTGTTTATATAAATGTTATAAACTATCAAACACAAGGGGTCAGGGTGCTTCAAAATGACATGCTTACCACATGATGTCTCTGTTAACTTTACTCCATACCACTAGAAACTATTCTGGATGGGATCATTAGGTTGAAATTTGTCATAGGGGAAAGACCCAGAGAGAAATTTAGGCAATATGTTTCAGGAGCACAGCTCATGCAAAAAGCATTTGCAATTTTTATTTATTTTAAGAAAATACAAATGTTAACATAGAAATTATTTTAACATCATACTAAATCATAATTTAGTTTTATTTTATCAATTCTAACATTATAAATTTCCTAACTATTGATATATAATGCGTAAAAAGTGAATTTGGAAATAATTATTCTGAGAATCAATATCTAATGCCTTCTTATGCACCTGTGGACAAGTAGATGTCTGCTACTTATGCTTCATTCTTTCTTACACTTCTAAGAATACTGGAGGATGTATAATTCAGGAAAAATCCCCAAAAGTCATAGGATACTATCCTTCTTGTGACCCTTGACCTCTGCTTGCAAATTATTTCTAAAAGCATCTTTGTAGTTCTCCAACAATATATAACTCTAGCAATTCAATTACATCTGTGATGGCTTTGAATATTTTCATTTTAATGATTATCTAAGACAAAACAATGTGTCTTGTTGTTGAATTCATGGATTTTTCAAGCAACATTTAGGAACTAAGGTGTTGACACTATCAGAACAAACACTAAGCCTCTTCACAAAGATAGAAGTTTTCTCTTAAGATTTTTCATTTAACTGACTCATTGTTTTGTGTCCGATGCGCTAGGTGCTGGAGCTGGAGCTCTCTCCTTAATTTCCTATGCAGCACAGTGTTATTTTGAGAGGTCACAGAGTCATCGGCTGGATGCATCCATTACCTTTCTGTTTCACCTTGGCGGCTTGCTCGGCTTCCCCTTTGGTATTTCGAGCATGACAGACATAGTTGCGCCTGAGATCCTCAGGGGTGACTTTCTTGATGCTCAAAATCTGAGTCCTTGTTTCATCTTCTGTTGTAGAATAAGTTACGCTACACACAAGGAGAAAGAAATCAAAATGTCTGTGAGACATAAGGGCGATGCCCTCTGTGTGAATAGCAACTACAGAGTCTGGGGGGGGCAGTGAGCACACGCAATGCTGATTGAGGATCTTATCATACCATACTTTATCGTAATGCTGGACAAACCCAATGCTAGACTCTCACTCTTTCTTCAGTTAAATGTCACCTTTGTTCTATGTGCTGAGGCATGATACTTAAAGAGAACCTTCTGGTATCAGACTTATTTGGGGCTAGATCCATGTTTTGTCTTTGAATGCTATGTACCTTGGGCAGTGTCATTAAGCTTTCCATGCCTTGGCTGTTTTGTAAAAGAGTGTGCTGTGTGAATGATTTACAACAATACCCTGAAGACTGAACACGCATCTGTGCCGCAGCCATGCTTGAGGAATGCCCTTCTGAACTATCATAACCCCACCATAACTGTCATGCTGCAGAGATACTGACAGTCCGACTTTCAAGCAGAGGCGGACTGCTTGCAGGAAATGTTGAAACTGCATAGTTAAATCCTAATGTGAAAAGAGAAGAAATAACTCCACACAAGAAAACTGAACTGTGAAGTAAATATATCCAAACTGCAGTAGGTTCAAGATCTAGTGTTATGTGTTTAAGACCAAGATTTAAAAATTTCTCCAACTGCTTGTCTCAGAGATTTCTAAATGTATCTCCCTCTTAGCAGACCAACGTGCAGGTTTTCCTTTAGATTAGGCATACTGTCAATCATGAAAATGTGTTTAGGGGCCCAGTTTTTTTCTTCCAAGCTCATTTTCCTATTCTAATGAACACTGCAAGTTTGTCTTAATTGTAGCAACACAGAATACCATGACGTTGTTCACTTAAGCATTTGTTTAACGTGAAGATGAGACTCTCGATTCTCAGAATTCCTGCAATGATCAATAACTATCCCTCGGGGACTTGAGATGAACCTTTTATCAGTTCCTTCTATAAAACATTCGATGCTTGGAGGCTTTTCCTTTCCTTTCAATTTTTTTCTTCTTCTCTAATGTCCAGGTCTTTGCACACAATGTTCCTTTATACTAGTTTTCCTTTCATTTCTTAACTTAGCAAACTTGATTTGAACACTGTTTCATCTGTGGAGTGCCACCTAATCCCCCCAAACTGACAGAACCCCCTAAGAACTGCTGCTCTAAACCTTCCTTCTTAATCACTTATTTATCATCTAATATTTAAGTGCTGACTGTCCCTGTCCTAACTAAGTAGGGGAATAAGCTATTCAAAGTTGAATATTTTATAGTTTCTACAAAACCTTAACTTACTAGTAGGAAAGAAATGGGGTTTGAATTGTAGAAATTCAATTAGTTTAAGGTCTGTTTGCACAAGGTGATAAAGCTTGGAGCCTTACAATGACTCTGTTAGAAACTTGACTACTGTGATTTATTAGTTTCCATAGCAAACCAATTCTCTGTAGCAATTTATATCTCCCTTATAGAAAAACCTCCATACTTCAGAAACCTGTTCATTTTCCCTTCGTTAAGTTCTTTAAAATTCTAGTTTACTTAAGAATAAAGTAAGCCAAGTTGTCATGTTAAAAGAGGTCTGTATTTTATTACCCATCAGCTTTTAAAACTTAGCTCTTTGAGAGTTTTGTACATTTACTTTTTAAGTGAAATTTACAGAACAAACTTAATATTGAACAACCAATTTTCAAGTCTTGGGGGAAGATAGGAAAGGTATAGCTACTTTCATATGAGAAATGATAAAATATAATTAGGAGAGAGCAAATATCTAGACCCATACTCCAGGTTGAGAAAGATAACTCAACTACTTTCACATAACCACATCCCAATATTTATCCTTCTCATTTATCTTTTTGTTCATGAGGCAGATATATTCTATATGTTTATAAGTGAGAATCATAAACATGTGACACAGGTAGAGCTTCAGACAATATGGTGCCTATGCTGTGGGACAACTCTGATGAAGGTACCCAACCTCAAGATAATGTCATTCCAAACTTTGGTTTGAATTTGGATCAAGTTCAGTAGCCCTGCTTTAGGATGCAGTTGCTGGAGATTTGAAAACCTTGCTAAATTTTGTTAAAGGAAAAATAATCATCACATCCATTGAATACTATGTATCAAGACTTTAAACCGACAATGGCTAGAGCTCCTGTAGAGGCCCATGATACCTTTCATTAGTAGTTATGTCAGCAATGATGTCCTCAGGCTTCTTTCCATCAATGGTCCACCAGATCTCATTGTGGGAGTCCATGATGAAACTGAAATAGACTTTACATGGGATGAGAAGCTCCTCTCCTGACAAACAAATGTAATAGATGATGTTAACCTATATTAATCCATCGATATGTATCTTTCATATGACTCATATGTGCCTGATTCTCTAGTGGTCACTAAAAGGCAATATACCATATTCTAACACCAAATGCAAAAAAGATAAAACCAAGAAGAGAAGCCCAGCAACCATATAAAATTATCAAAATGGCCTCTTTTGTTGGTTTTTCGAGACAGGGTTTCTCTGTATTGTTTTGGAGGCTGTTCTGGAACTCACTCTATAGACCAGGTTGGTCTCGAATTCACAGAGATCCACCTGTCTCTGCCTCCTGAGAGCTGGGATTATAGGCATGCACCACCAACGCTCGGCCTCAAAATGGCCATTTTTTTGTTTTCTTTTTTTTCTGTTTATTATTATTATTATTATTATTTATTTTTTATTTTAAATTTAGATTAGAAAAAAGGTTGCTTCACAAGTCAGTTCCAGGTCCTTCTCCCTTTCCCTCCCATCTTCCCGTGCCCTCCTCCCAGCCCCCCCATTATCCCCTCATTTCCCCAGGGAGGGTGAGGCCCTCCATGGGGGTGTCCATAGTCTGTTATTTCATCCAGGGCAGGGCCTAGACCCTCCCCCAAGAGTTCAAGGTGAGAGTGCATCTCACATTGTTGGATGGGAGTCCAAAGTCCCTGTGTATACTCGGGATGAGTACTGATCTACTGCCTAAGGCTCAATAGATTACCTAGGCCTCCTCAATGACACCCACATTCAGGGGGTCTTGATCAGTCCCATGCTGGATTCCCAGGCTGATGCCTGGGATTCAAAAGTTAACCTTTGTCAGGTCAGCTGTTTCTGGGGGTTAAAACAGCCCAGTCTTAATCCCTTTGGTCATCAGTCCTCCCTCTCTGTTACTGGCTTTCTTGAGTTCAGCTCAGTGCTTAGCCATGGGAGTGTGCCTCTTCTTCCATCAGCCACTGAATGAAGTTTCTGTTTCCCAGACTCTCTTGCCATGGGATTGTAAGCTGGCACTCCCCTCCCCAGATCTATGTCTAAAATCCATATATGAGAGAGTACATGCCATGTTTCTCTTTTTGTGACTGTGTTACCTCACTCAGGATGGTTTCTTCTAGTGTCATCAATTTGCCTGCAAATCTGAGGATTCCATTGTTTTTTTCTGCTGAATAATACTCCATTGTGTAAATATACCACATTTTCTCTATCCACTCTTCGGTTGAGGGGCATCTAGGTTGCTTCCCAGTTCTGGCTATTACAAATAATGCTGCTATGAACATAGTGGAACAGACATCCTTGTTGTATGAATGGGCATCTTTTGGATATATGTCTAAGAGTGGAGTTGCTGGGTCTTGTGGTAGGTTTATTCCCATTTTTCTGAGGAATCTCCATACTGATTTTCAAAGTGGCTAAACAAGTTGGCACTCCCACCAGCAATGGAGGAGTGTCCCCCTTTCACCACATCCTCTCCAGCATAAATTGTTATTGGTGTTTTTGATTTTAGCCATTCTGACAAGAGTGAGATGGTATCTCAGAGTTGTTTGGATTTGCATTTCCCGGATGGCTAAGGATGTTGAGCACTTTCTCAAGTGCCTCTCAGCCACAAAATGGCCATTTTTAAGACTATATAAATATGCTCTAAAATGCCAGAGGAACTCAGACAAAATTCTTTTAGGCCAAAAGATTCAACAGGCATGGTGCTCGAACAGTAGCTGAGAGATAACATCTCAGCAAAACAACATGAGGCAGAGAGCTAACTGGGAATGGAATGGGATATTTGAAGCATCGAAGTCTACTCCCAGGCATTGCTCCTAATAGTTCTGAAACAGTTCCACAAACTGGACACTAAGAATTCAAACATATGAGCCTATGGGAGCTATTTTCCTTCAAACTACCACAGTGACCAATAAAAGAGTCCCTAGATGATAATTGTCTAAGGAGGATGGAGTGATATGTCATTACTAGGATAACTGATGATGGAATCCCCATCTCCAAACCCTCAGAAACCTAGTTTAAAACAGCAAATCTAAGCTATGTAGCTCAGATAGTTTGTGAGATGAGGGAGGCTCACAAACAGGGGTAGTAATTTTGACAATCATGTAAAGATCAATATAATTGTTGTGGCTTTCATATAACTAAATACTTACACTTGTTAATGTTTTCCTTTTATTATTATTATTTTTTATTCTTCAGAATCATATACATTTATAGAACGAAGTTTGGCCATTTTCATCCTGCCATGACCATCATCCTTCTACTACCCTGAGCACCATTTTTTCGCCAAGAAACCTTCTCATACTTTGATGTATTTTTGTGAAGTGCTGAATTTAATCATGATTTCTTGCATCAGCATGAGTGTGGGTGCTATTTACTAAAACATGGGCAACTTATCAATGGCTGTAGTACCGAAGATGACAAGTGATTGTTGAGTGTCTACATCGAAATGGGAAATCTATATCACCCCTTCCAGAGCTCAGGAAACATTGATGAAGGTAAAGCAGAAAGGATGTAAGGACTAGGGAATGTAGAGGAGCCCACAAAACAGTTACTTCAAATTACAGACATATAATGTATGGGTATATGTTCCTTAGACAAAGGGACTGTGTTTTAGATGTGTCAACTGGGGTTGGCACCTTACAATCAATTGATCTCTACATTTTGATCAGTATGTTTTCCAGCTAAAAGATTCTTTGATGACGGGCATTTGCACAGAAGTTAGAAATTATACTGGTTTATGCAAATGGAAATAGTAGGCTCTCCTCTAGATTTTATGATCTTACCAACTGGCTGTATTTACATAATCAGGCATTATTTCCTACAGAGTGAGGAGGATTTAAGCTGGATGATGATGGTGCAAACCTTTAATCCCAGCACTTGGGAGGCAGAGGCACATGGATCTCTGTGATTTCAAGGTCAGCCTAATGGAGGATGTCCTTCTGTATATGTTTCTCTTATAGGTTGATGAATAAAACACTGATTGACCAGTAGCCAGGCAGGAAGTATAGTTGCGAGATACAAGAGGAGGAGAATTCTGGGGAGAGGTAGTAGAGGAAAGTCAGAGCAGATGCCATGCAGCTGCTGAGGGAAAGATTCTCTGATAAGACCATGTGGAAATACTTAAATTGATAGAAATTAGTTAATAATTAAGAGAGAGCTAGCCAATAAGAAGCCTAAGACATTGGCCAAACAATTTAATAATTAATATAAGTCTCTGTGTATTTATTTGGGGCTAAACATCTGTGGAATCAGGCAGAACAGAAACAGTATCTACACCAGACTGGTGTGCAGAGTGAGTTCCAGGACAGCCAGGGCTACACAGAGAAAACCCTGTCTTGAACCCTCCCCCATAGAAAAGAGAAGGCTTTAAATCAATTAGGTAACTGTTGGTTAGCCCTCGTATATGAGTGCCATTATTGTATCATTTCCGATATCTTGATGTTCTGGATATTGTGGTTTGTAAGCTTTACAGATAGGTAGAACTACTGACTGTTTCACTCCTTCGGAAGCTTGCATACGTCCTTCCCATACTATGAGAGCTAGTCCTCAGGGAAGAGATTTCTAGGTTAGATCTCGATGGATTTCTCCAAGTTCTGTGTTCAAAGTGTGCTGGACCAATGATAAGATCTTGCTTTCCACTGAGAAGCAATCAAGGATAACAGATAGCTATATTGTTTGGGGAGTTTTTTGAACTCCCCTGAACAAAAGCTTGAGAGGACATTTCCCATGCCTGGCACTGGATTTTTCTTAAATAGTATATTTGGGGTGGTAGTGGTCTAATTTTTATCCTAAGGTGTCTAACTTCCTATCAGTAATGTAATTTTAAGTAAACATAAAATAGCATAATTTTTACAGTTTCTTAAAATATTCTTGGTGTTAAACATTCTTCCTCCTTCCCTCTCCTTCTGTGTTGTCCTCTCCATCCTGCCCAACTAAGTTTTCTCTACTCTAGGAATTTATTCTTAATCAAACAGTATGAAACCTTTTAAAAATTAATGTCCTACAGAAGCAAATGCTGAAATGTCAACACGTTAAAGAGCATTTGTAGGTCAGATTGTGAGTAAGAACTGGATTTGACCCTGCTTGGGATGGTCACAGCAGCCTGCTGAGAGTATTTTTGCTTTATGCTTATGTTCTTAGTTCACAATTGCCCAGACTCTAAAGAAACCTCTAATTACCTTTGGTTTAACTGACAACATTGACTCCAGGCTTTCCTCTATGCTGCATGACTTCCCTAACTTCCCCTTACAGATTCTAAATCATTGTTTCCATAAGGAAGGTAAAATGAACAAGAGATCAGGAATGCTTTGGGAGTGTGGCACGAGAAGCAGATGTAACATACTTGGGTAGCTGGCAGATTTTTATTTCAGCAGTGGCAAGAATTTCAGTTACTATACAAAACCCATATTAACCCTAGGAATTTCAGTCTACTTGAGGCTGGTCAGCCCTCACAATGCATCCTCTACTCCTTCCAAGGCAGTTCATATCTTAAAACTCATCAGAACATTTCATTTTTGGCTGTCCACCTACAAAATCTGTGTTCTTCAATGAGTCTAGACGGTCTTAAGTATAGAAGATAATGTAAAAGTATTAGAATTTCTGTAGGAGGGTTTCAGTCAAAAGAACAACAAAAATATCTCTTACTTTGTAGTTTATGAATGATTTCTTTCTAGAATAAAAATTTATGAAAGCTTAAAGCGGCCCAGGGTGACATGCCAACCAAATGACACAGTTCTGAATCCACCATTCAGGAACCTGTTTTCCCCCTTAGTTCTGAGTTCTGTCTGATTCCAAGCTTCACACTCTGAAAAGGAAGCAGGAACTTCAAAGCTGTCTTATGCTATTATTACAGCCTCAGCAAACCAAAGTCCCATGCAAAGTCAAGTTTTCATCAGACAGTAATTGCAGAGGAAGACAAGGAGCAGAGGATAAAGGACCTGTACTGGAAGGGAAGCCAAAACTCCACATCTGCCGTGAGACTGATAGAGTAATTGATCCCCACACGCTGTGGCTTTTGATCTCATTCCACTTTAAATCTGTGCATTTCCTTACAGTTAAGCTCTACTCTCTCATACTAACCTATGTTTTACTTCTTGTAATTAAGAGAATCTATCGAAACATCAGGGCCACACCTATAACTTACCTGGTTCTTTCTCATAGACCACACGGTCGTTTGGAGAATAGATCTGGGGTGGTAATGCATCTCTTGGCGAGCCTATGATAGAAAATGCAAAAAGGGGATGTTAAATCATCCAGGCTTATGCAAAACTCTGCATCTAACTTCTTCAACTTCCTGGCATAGTTTGTCAATTCTTGAGAAGGCTTACAGTCTAATATACACTCAATTCCTGGACTTCACTCATTGAAAATAAACAAAATGTGAGGTAATAGAAAATATGTATTCATTGCTATTACTTATTCCTAACACAGGACTCCTGAGAGCCCTTTAATTTACTGAGTGCTGTGGGTGGCATAACATCTTTCATCATTGCTCTCTGTTATTTCCTTTTAGTCCCCAGTTCCTGAACCAAGAACTTGTGAGTCCCTCAGACTCTTTGAAGACAGAAACTGTCAATCTGTAGTGTCTGTGAAAACTCCAGGTTGTTAATATCAAAACGAATTAAACTGTAAGAAGTGTAGATAGTGTCTCAGAGAGTAGGAGAATTGCTTGTTATGGAAAATTTGCACATTTAGTGACACAGAAGTGTTGTAAGCACAGAAAAAAACAGCTTTTCCTTTGCAAAAATCCAAACAAAATATATTGAATTCCTTGCATTTTTGGGGGGTGGGTAGATTGTTTTATCAGTGTTCTTAACTACCAGTGCTCATGTGGCACAGACTTCTCTTGCGATATTGGAAATAACTGCTTTCATGTCTTATTTCTTCTATTTTTATTTCTTTTTAAATTTCCAATCTACTTGTACCACAAGTATTCAACACACGCAACTACATGTTTTCAATTTGTAAACCATGCTTATTATTTATGCTTATTATCATAGTATTTCTCCCTGAAGTGCTCAGAATGTCAAGTGTGAAACCTGGATATTATTAGATATTTAGCTACAAGGAAAATTTAAAGATACTTCCACATATGTCTGACTGATAGATACTGAATTACTAGCCAAATGCCCATGCATGGAAATGCTGTTTTTTGTATGTTCTATACATATATGTTAAAGTACCATCAAAGAGTTTTGCAGTGTAGTGTTTTTTTTTAAATGTTCAATTTTATTTTGTGGATATGAATATTGTGCCTTCATGTATGCCAATATATCACATTCTTGTCTGGTGACCATGAAAGTCAAAAGATGGTATGAGATCACTTGAGTCCTCTGAGCCATCTCTCTCTCTAGCCCTGGTATAGTATTTAAAAGAGTGTGGGTATAGTATTTGAAGATGACCAGGTTCTCAGCCAGATTCCTCCATATATTAATTATACGTACAGGGTATATTTTACTTTAAAAAGTATGTTTTCTATAACTCTAAAAATGGAAATATTTTGGTAGAGTTTGTATAATTATATATAGTAACTCATTAAGAGCGTAAACTCAATCATGCCCATGGGTGACATACTTGTGAATGACAAGTCATGCTTACCTACCACCTTTACACTCACAGTCCTGGTGAGGCGAAATAGTCGTCCATTTTCAGGATATGTAACAACACATGTATAATTTCCATTATTTGAAACCAAGGGGATGAAAAAGGTCAAGTTCATACCATCAGGCAGTACATTATGAAAATCCACTATTTCAGTACAACCCTAGAATAAGAAAAATGATTCACTGTTTAGATGCATGTACACACATAACACATGTAAAAAGTGGCTTTTATATCTCATTTTACAAAGAACATGCAAATATCTATGCTGTACTTTTTACAAAAATATATAGTCAAATATCTGAACAATGTTATTTGTAAAAAAATAATTGGATTAAGTATAACTTTAAGTTTTATGTATAAGAGAAATTAAAATTCTAATTCAAGGAAAGACTCAACATCAAGCTTTCGGTCTCAGGCTCAGTTTTCAAATTCTTGGAATCCCTTCTTGGTGGTGAATTAAGATTCATGTTTTGCAATAAAAACTAAAAAAATGAATGATGGCAAGCCTTGCTTTAAAAGACAATCATATGCTTTTTTCTATCTCTCCTCACCGATTCTGTTAACCCAGGAATCTGGTCCCTTTGGTAACCCTGACACCAATTTCAATACACAATTTTGGTATTTTTGGCCATTCCATTTTGTCAAATTTCTTTGTTAGTCATTTTCAAACATTTTGTGTTCTCTTACTGTATTCAGTTTTTCTCAAAAATGTATTTATTTTTGCAAACTACTTTTAATCTGTCACCCCCAAATGTATGAAGCTATTTCTGCTTCTAACTCATATTTCCACATAAATTAACTGATATTTAAAATACAAAGCTGAACTGTCTTAGGCAAAATAAAAACCATAGTCCTGCTTTGTGTCTTAGTCTCTGACTACATGGTTTTACTGATAAAATGTCAATGCATCATATGTGACAAAAATCCACTTTAAATATTCACTTTTCAAATTTGTTTGTTTTTTCTTTTAAAATTTAATAATTTGTGAATGGCAAAATATTACATTATCTTTAAGGACTTGAGGTCTTTAAGTTTCTGGGCATCTATTACTGACTTGTATTTTAAATTTTTTGCTTAAGTTTTTTTTCACTTCAATTCCTGGCAAATACATTTTGAAAGATGACAGCTACTTTCAGAAATGTATTTTGAAAGACTTTGTCACAGGAAATATAGTTGTGCCTCATGGAAATCAAGAGGAACTGATACTGGCTCAGGTAAGATATTTTCTCAATCCATTTCTTCTGTTGTGTAAGCAGCCTGTCTGGATACTTGTCATATCAGGACCCCAAGGTTACCACAAAGTAGGAAACCATAAAGGTTGACAACTCATAATGAATTCATGTCAGACGTGGTTTGGGCTGAGTTTAATATGTCTCTAGAAGTCTATTTGACGGGAAGGCACATTTCATTTGAACAGCAGCAAGATAGCATTCCTTCATTTGTTGACTTAGCTGTTCTTAAAACGCATGAAGCAAGCAGATCAGACTGAACGTGCCCCAGTTTTACTGATAGAAAAAGAAATGAGATTTATAAAGAGACATCCTAGATAGCACAGTACAGAGCTAAAACACTTTTCCAGGTGCTAGAATAAAGATCTCTCACTGGATTCTGAACTAAAAGTTAAATTTTTATTCAAAAGCTGGGGTTATGAAAATTACAGCAGGACATGTTATACTATCTTACTTGTGCCAAACTTACAAAGTTTGTAATATTCTTATCCCATTTTATGAACAAGGAAATAGAGATGTGTAAAAGTTAACTGTTTATTTCTTACAACTTGATAGTGCTAGGAATGGAATTTGAACCTTCATATATTTGCTTCAATTATGAATCACAATATGTTTGTCTCGAGCTTTTACTTTTAATCCCACATGACACTATGTCCTCATCCTATGTTGCAGTCCTGCAACTGTGCCATAGCCATGCAACTATACCACATCTCTTCATCTGTGACACACCCTTCATCTATGCCATAAGCCTGCATCTATGTCATACCCCAACATCTGTGCCAGAACCCTGCACATAAGATATACCCCGTGTCTGTGTCATACCCACTTTATTTATTCCACAGCCCTGCATCTGTGTCAACTCCGCTTTAGCACACAAAGCCAACTCCAGTGCTAATAGTGCGATATGTCTGGTCTCTATAATTAGGGGTAAACTGAAAAGTATATTTTTCTGTACAAAGAGGTATATATTTTTACTTACTTAATTTGTCAATAGAATCTTTGAGAATATATTGAAATCTGCGTAAAAGCTGGTAGGCCCATAACATTTTATGGACGAAAAGGAAGGAAATGTTTTACATTTCAAATATGTACCTGTACAGTGTGGTATATGAGCACATTGTTATTATTACAAATACACATTAATTTCAGCCTGTAGTGTTGAGTTAGGCCTTTTTTATACAAATAGCTCCAACTCTAGACTCTTCAGTATGTGTCCCAAAGACATGATTTTTATAGATAATAAACTAATCTTGAAAATAATCTTTATGATAGTTTCAGAGATACTTGCTTAAAATTCAGAAGAAAACTTTCATGAACAAAGACTTGGATACTCAAAGAAAACAGGTTTTCAAAAACAAGAAACCAGTTAGCACTCAGTGAACTTCTTCAATGAAGCCAGCACTTGTATGACCAGCCTTCTACCTGGCCTGTCAGTTCCTCATTCTGAATTCAAAAGAGAGAAGTTAAATACAAGAGCAACCGACCAGCTACACAGTGGTTCCTGTGACGACCAAACACAACATGTAAGCAGGGAACAGTACAGGAAATGATATTTGGGATCCTGGAGAGGAAATAAGTGTGTAAGAGATGAAGGCGGTGGGTAAGATGATGTCACAATGAAGTAAGTAGCTTCCATTAGAGAAGTCAATTACAAAAAAGGAACTGTGTGAAAACATGACTGGAAAAGATATTTTTTTTAATTCATAGGTATTCATCCCAGTGGAAGATTCTTATGAATACAAAAGAAGGCATACTGGGGCCAAGAAATGTATAATGAGGATCTAACAGTGAGCCTATAGCAAAAAATGTTGCTAGGTAAAGATTTGTGTTGGGGCAATGGGACAGGATCTCCTGAATGGACTGGGAGCATGGGGAGAGGGGACAGGGAGCTGGGGGAAAATGAGAGGAGAAGAGAAGGGGAGAGGAGGACATGGGGGAGCAAGAAGGTTGAGTCAGGGGAAGAATGGAGGAGAGCAGGATGACAGATACCATAATAGAGGGAGTAATTATAGGTTTGAGGAGAGATCTGGCACTAATGAGATTTCCAGAGATCTAGAAGGATGACACCAACTGGCAAACTAAGCAATAGTGGAGAGGACCCCTTAAATGCCCTTCCCTGACAATGAGATTGACGACTACCTTATATGCCATCTTAGAGCCTTCATCCAGTGGCTGATGGAAACAGAGGCAGACACCCACAGCTAAACACTGGACTGAACTCCTCGAACCAGTTACAGAGAGAAAGGAGTGAAAAGCAAAGGTGTCATGACCCGGCGGGTGATACCCATAGAAACAGCTGACCGGAACAAGGGGGAAACTCATAGACACCATACTGATGGCTAAGAGACCAGCATGGGACTGATCCAAAGACCCTGAACGTGGGTGCCAGTAAGGAGGCCTTGGCAATCTTTGGGGCCTCGGGTACCAGATCAGTATTTATCCCTGGCATCCGAGTGAACTTTGGGAGCCCATTCCACATGGAGGGATGCTCTCTCAGTCTGGACACGTGGGGGGAGGGCCTAGGCCCTGCTTGGGATGATATGAAAGACTTTGAAGATCCCCCATGAAGGGCCTCACTCTCCCTGGAGAGTCCAGTGGGGATTGGTGGGGCGACAAGGTGGGGTGGGGGGGCGAGTGAGTAGGGGAGGGAGGTGGGACTGGGATTGACTTGTGAAGCAAGCTTATTTCTAATTTAAGTAAAAAAATTGTGTTGGATCTTAAAATGAGGTGGAAAATACTGAGAACATTTTGGGGAAAGTGGAGACTCATGTACAACACTCTGGGCACAGAAAAGAGTGAAGAACTCACCTTCATTCTTGGAGTACTTTCCCACCTTGTTATGACTTACATTGCCTTATTATAATGTCTGTTTTCCTACAGTGCTCACCCACCTCTGCAAAATTATCTTCTGTTGGGTCAGTGAGGGCTAGATAAGCACTGTGTGTACATGGCCTGTGACTGGGCCAATATGTGACATCTTGAGTTCAACATGTTTGTGATACATGACCAAAAATACTTATAAAGCAGCATAGATACATGACATAAAATTGAGAGCTCATAGAGTATGTGGTAGTTAAGTACATGGACCATTATATATAGAGTAGACATTAGAGTATACATGGGGTAAATGGGAATAAAATTATAAAGAGTTTAATCTCCAATGTCTGAACAGTTAGGGATAGCCATGGAAGCTTTGAATCTAGAAAATCTTGGCATAAAATATGTTGCACTTTGTTGAATTCTGTGAAGAGGTTCATAAGCCAGTCATTTCCAAAAAAGAGAATTTAGTCTTTCAATGTTTATAAATATTTACAATGTCTCTTCTATTTGCCAGGCAATGTTAAGAGCTAGACAAATAATAATAAAAGATGAGATGGCATACATTTTCATGAAGTTTTACAACCAAGTCTAAATCCATTATTCAATAAATTCTTAAGTGCAATGAAGGTTGGCTCAGTCTTCTGCTGTATGTTGGATGTTCAAAAGAAAGAAAATGAGGGCAGAGAGAGAGACCTCACACTTAGCACAGAACAAAGAAATATAATCACTAAAGAGAAAAAGATGAGCTAGGAATTAGGTTCCCCCAATTTACACAGTAGAAGATTCATTTGCCCTGATTTAGCCTCAAGGTTTCAAAATGTCATTTTAATTTGGTTTTCTGTTTAAACAATGAATTTTGGGTCTTCAGGAGCCCTAAAACCATATGCAAAATGCTGTGTATGTATACCTGCACAGAATTCTTAGTGTGCAGCTCTCAAAGAAAATATGAACTTACTAACTTCACACCAAAGGTTAAAAATCCTTCCAAAGAGATTGCAAAAAGAACATAAAGAACCATTCTAACTAGTTGATACAGTCTTGCAGTAGCTAAAGTCTGTCACACAGAGATTGGGCTTACCTCCCAATAGTATGTGCCATGATAAAAGTTTAA